AGTCCTTTAACAAATACATGATTTCAAATATTTCTCTCACAGTGTAGTTTTGTCTTTTCATTTTTTATCTTACATTTAGGACTATAATCCATGTTGAGTTAATTTTCCTATGTAGTGGAATTACTGGCTTATATTTTTTCTTAGACATGGACGTCCACTTATTCCAGCACCAACTGTTGAAAAGACTGTCCTTTCTGAGTGAACTGTGTTAGCACCTTTCCAAGAAATCCACTCACTTTAAATTATTAGGACTTCTTCTTAGACACAAAATTCTGTTCAGTTATCTATATGTCTTCCTTTAAGCCAATACTGGAGTACTGACGTGGCACTGTAGGATAAAGCACTGGACTGCAAGGTTGGTTTGAATCGCAAGGTTGGCAGTTCAAACTCACCAGATATGCCTCAGAAACCCTAAACAGGGTGGCCATGAGTTGGAACTGACTTGACGGCATTTAACAACAAGAAGCCAATGCTATCGGACTGGTGAAGAATCTTGAATATATCATTAACTGCCAGAACACATAAATCTGTTTTGAAAGAAGTACAGCCAGATTGCTCCTTGGAAGCAATGATGGTAAGACTTTGTCTCTAACATTTTAGACATGTTATCAGGAGGAACAAATCCTTGGAGTGGGACATCATGCTTGCTTGGTAAAGTGGAGAGTCAGTGAAAAAGAGGAAGATCCTCAACGAAATGGAATGACACAGTGGCTGCAACAATGGGCGCAAACATATCAACAATGGTGAGAATGCCGCAGGACTGGGCAGTGTTTAGTTCTGTTGTACATAAGGTCGCTATGAGTCAGACCTACTAAACAACAGCTCACAATATACTACCTTCATTCATGTAGACTGTAGCAAGTACTGAAATTATGTAATAATTTTTCAGTCTTCTAATTCATGAAAAAGGTAAGTGTCATATTTAAATCTTCTTTAATTTCATTCACCATTATTTTAGTAAGTGCACAAAAATATTTTATATTTTATGTCTTTTGTCAAATTTCTTTCTAGGTATTTCAATCTTTTTGATACAATCATGAATAAAAGTTTTCCTTAATTTGCTTTTGAATTGTTCATGGCTAGAAATACTACTAATTTCAGTGCATCGGTCATGTATTTTGTAACTTTATTGAACTTATTTTATTCTAATAGGTATCTCAAGAGTTTCTACTATAGGGTCAAGTTAACTTTTCAGGAACTTTCCCTTTATAATCTGGTATATTTTTCTTTACTTGCCTGACGAGAACCTCTGGCGCAACACTAAGCAGAAGTAGTAGCAGTAGATATCCTTGCTTCTTTCTTCTTCCTGGTCATTGATATAGTAGTAGCTGTTTGTTTTTCATACATATATTTTATCAAGTTAGAATGTTTCCTTCTATTTCTAGTTTGTTGTAAAATTTTATCATGAGTGGGTATAAGATTTTGCTAAAAGCGTTCTCTATTGATATGATTATGTATTTTTTACCTTATTAATATGATGTATTAATAATTTTCACATTAAACCAACTTCATATTGCTGTAACAAATTCTACTTATTCATAGTGTATAACCGTTTTTAAATGTCATTAGATTCAGTTGCTAATATTTTGCTAAGTAGTTTTGTACTTATATTGGCCCTGCAGCTTATTTATGATATCTTTGAAGTTTGGCTTTGAAATCATGGTAAATAAATTGGGAAGTATCCCCTTCTCTATTTTCTAAGAGGCATTATCTTTTTTTTTTTTTTTTTTTCTTACATATTGTATAGAATTTATCAAATGGCTTTTGGATTTTCTTTGTTGGAAGATTTTCAACTACTAATTCAATTTCATTATTATAAAAGTCTATTCTTATTTTTCATTTCTTCTTGAATCAGTTTTGGTAATTTGTGCCTTTTTAGGAAGTTGTCCATATCTTCTAGGTTGTGTAATTTGGTGGCATAAAGTTCTCATAATATTCCATTATAAGATATTTAAGTTCTGTAAGATTATCACCTCTTTCCCTCATTATTTCAGGAATTTGTTTCTTGGTTAATCTAACTAAAGGTACATCAATTTTGTTGAACTTTTCAAGGAACATATTTTTAATTTGATTTTTTTCCTAATATTTTCTGTTCATTGCTTCATAAATTTATTTTACTATTTTCTTTATCTGTTTTCTTTGGTTGTTACTGTGCAACGCTGAGTCAGATCCAACTCATAGCAGCCCTGTATAGAATTTTCAAGAGGCAGCTGGTAAATCTGAACTGTAGACCTTGCAGTTAGCAGTCTAGTGCTTATTCAGTTTCCTAAGATGAAAGCTTAGGTAACTGATTTGAGATTTTCTCCTTTTCTGACAGACACATTTAAAAGTATAAATTTCCCTTGACACATTGCTTTGTTGCTGTTAATTGTCATCCAGTCAGTTCTAACTCGTAACAAACCTGTATAGGATTTTCATGGCTGTATGTCTTCGCAGGAACAGAAAGTTCATATTTCTCCTGAAGAGCAGCAAGTGGGCTCAAATTACTGACCCTGTGATTAGCAGTCCAGTGCTTATCATACACAGTGAAAGCATTCCCATTCTCTTAGCTGCATACAAATTCTGGTAAGTTGTGATTTTGTTTTTAATTAAAAATATCTAAATTTTTCCTTGTTTTTGTTGTTGTTTTAAGTGCCATCAAATTGGTTCTGACTTATAGCAACCAAGGAATGGCTGTTGGGTTTGAACCATCAATATTATGGTTAGCAGTCCAGTGTTTACCCTACAGCTTCACATCAGGATTCCAACTATTTCCGTAGGATTATTAAAAGAGTGTTGTTCAACTGCCAAATATTTGGGTTTTTGCAAGATTTTTACAAAATAATCTGTTTCGGATTTTCCATTTTTTGAAATCTATTGAGTGACTTTGGTCCACTCCATTCTCTGCTGTGCAGGTACACAACCTCCACTCAACTCAGGATATATGTTGAACTTCTCACATCCCATGACTGTCTGTCCTGCTAGAACTTTCTGTTAAACCCAGTTGTATGTCAATTCACTGCTGGCCCCAAATTAGACGAAAACCTCAAGTTAGCAAAGTCATTGACCCTTCCTTGGTATCAAGATTGCCAATTTAACTTACAAGCTCCAAATACATTGAGCTCTCTTCTCTAGCAGGAACACTAAAACTACTGGTTTTCAAGATCTATCCCATCCTGGAAGAACTACCATGCCAACAGAGCTACATACATACAAGGAAGTGGGGAAAAGGAATAGTCCTCGGTAATACCACAATGTACGCTACTGTTACCCAAGTTCAGTGGTTTCTATAATAAAACATCTTAACTTAATTTAGTTGGTTGATTTCCAGAGCACTAACATGGTTGATTTAATAGTTTTGTCTATTTTTAGGTTGTTTTCTGAGAAGAGCCACTATACCTTCTTAATCAGTCTTGTCAGTCATTCCTTTTTAAACAATACATATTGTATACTGCTATTCATAAGTTAAACTATACGAAATCTTTATAAATTTTAAGTTTCTATTTATCTCTGAGATAAAACAGCAAGTTCATTATTTTGCCACTCATACTATATGCATAGATACATTCTTTTATGCTGTGTATATAGATTCAACTTTCAATTTTGCCATTTCTGGAAAAAAATGCTTTTGTGCATGTACATTTGTGTACTGAGGATTTCTCCATAGTGTTAAAAGAAGGCTGATAAAAATTTCAAAATCATACTAGAAGAGTGTATCTGTACAGTTCCAGGCACCATAGTATATGACAGGCAATGATAATCTACAGCATAAAAACGATACCTAAAGGTCTGGCAACTATGGCATAAGAAAAACATATGGGAATAAATGTCAATGTTTACCCTGGAGATTAAAAAAAAAAAAAAAAGACTTATAGCCAGTCCTCTTCAGATATTGAAAGGACTGTTACTATTGTTGCTGTTAAGTGCCATCGAGTCAGTTCCGACCCATAGCAACTCTCTATAGGATTTAAAGTATACTTACTCAATATTGATCCAGAGGGCAAGAATCAAAATTATGACTTAAACTCAGTAATTCAGAGTTCAGTATACAAAGAACTTATTAAACAATTTAAGCTAAAGTGGGTCTCTTGCAAAATACTGACTTGTCCTCACTGAAAATGATCCTAATGGGAGACTGGGTGACCACTAGCTGGTGAGTTTGAACCGCTGACCTTGTGGTCCCATGCTGTAGGACTGTAAGGCCAATTGGAATTTACTAGCCACTGTTTGGAAACCCTATACTGGGGTTGCTATGAGTTGGAACCAACTCAACACACTCAGCAACTAAGCAACAACAGAAGACATGAACTAGATGACGTTTCAGTTCTAAGTTTCTCTAATTTATAAAGCTGAAATCCTGGTGTGGCGTTGTAGGATAAGCACTGGACGCACCAGCTGCTCCTCTGAAAACCCTATACAGGAGCAGCTATGAGCCAGAACTGACTTGATAGCACTCAACAAGAAACAGGTAAGAATTGGATAAGTAAAAGATAAACATATTAGGGAAAAAAATCCAAAAGATTATCATAAAAGAATAACATACTTCAGGTTATTCGTAATGAATAACGAAATGGGTCTTAAACTGTTCCTAAAAGACATATGCTTCACTCTCATGGGTCCAAAAGGCAACAATACTCTGCTGGTTCTCATAAATAAGCTGTAACTAGAAAACCCTATCCCTACCATTGTACAAAGCTACCATCTGTAGTTCTGGCTGTTAGTCCTCAAAAATGAGCAAGCTGAAGTGGAACAAAAGATAACTAAAGTAAAAAAGATACAGAACTTAATTACATAAAAGCTGTCTTCATTCTAGGAAGGCTGAAGATAAGTGCGGTAAGAAAAAATATTTAAAAAGGACATGAAAAGCAAAAAACAGAAAACTCAGACTTTTCCAAAACTTAGAAAAGGTAAGATTAAAATAAGCTTTAGGACAAATACAAGTAGTATTATTCAATTCAAGAAAAAGTTACTAATTGTCTAGAATCCAAACAAGTTATATACTAAAAATAGATACAACTTACCTCTTTTAGTTGATCAGCACTCCCCCATGATGCAGAGCGCTGATGTGACCTCTTTTCAGCTCCCTCTTCCGCCCAACAGCTAGGAGTCTAAAAAAAATTAAAATGAGTATTAAAAAAATAAAGAAATTTATCTCTATGCAGTGTTTTCATAGCAAATAAAGTACATTTCAAAATCTAAACACATACCATGTCAGGGGTTATTGTAAAACCCTTTTTTAGAAGTGAGTGAAATATTTTTTAAAACACTGTCATAAATTGAATTAAATCAATGATCAGTCTTAGATGTCTTTTGATTCATCTTTCTCAAAACATTTGATATCTTTACAACGAAAACATTACTAAAAGTATTTGCATTAAAAGAGATTGCATATATTGTGGTGCTTTGTGCTAATGGGTCAGACTGCAAAGTCATTTGAACTGCAAGGTCGGTGGTTCAAGCTCACCAGCTGCTCCTTGGAAACCCTATACAGGGTCACTAGGGGTCGGAATAGAGTCAACACCACTTATCAACAACAACAACATAAAGAGAATAGCCACACTAAATATAAAATGTTAGTTCTATGAAATATAATGGACAGAAAGTATGATTATCAGAGCTTGCTCAGAAACAGGGGGATTACATGTCAAATCATCAGTTCGAAACTACCAGCTGTTCTGTGGGCGAAAGATAAGGCTTTCTGCTCCCAACAAGATTTATAGCCTCGGAAACCCTGTACAGGATCACTATTAAGTCGGAACCGACTCTACAGCATACAACAACAATAACAATATAAATAGAAGCCTGATAATAATTTTTTTCCTGGACATGAAAGTATTAACAACAGTATCTTTGTTGAAAGATCAAACACATTTATATGAAAAAATGGTGTTGTTACAGTTGCATGTTGTCAAGTTGGTTCCAACTCATAGTGACCCAGTATAGGGTTTCCAAGGAGCAGCTGGTGAATTTGAACCACCAACCTTGTTGTTTAAGCCGGCCTTGCAGTCCAGTGCATTATCCCACAGTGTCACACCAGGATCTACTTAAAAAACACAAATTATTATAAAATTAAAATGTAAAGGATTAAAACCAAAAAATGTAAGCTAAATAAACTGACACATAACTAAAATGATACATCTTTAAAACAAACAAAAAAAGCTACTTATCAGAACCACCACTTCCTTTATCAGTCTGTCCTACTGTGCTAGCTTGTGTATTGCTGTGACACTGGCAGATATGTCACCATGGTGGGAAGATTTCAGTGGAGCTTCCAGATGAAGACTAGGAAGATGGAGGTAGATGACTTCTGAATGGTTAGCCAGTGAAAACCTTATGAATAGCAGTGGGGCACTGTCAGATAAAGTGCTGAAAGATGGGACCCTCAGTTGAAGGACACTAAACATACGACTGGGAAAGAGCTGCCTCCACAAAGTAGAGTTGATCATAATGATGAATACAGCAAAGCTTTAAAGATTTTCATTTGCTAATGGGGCACAACTCAAATTGAGGAAAAACAGCTACAAACATTCATTAATAATGGGAACATGGAATTTATGAAGTATGAATCTAGGAAAATTAAAGTTGTCAAAAATGAAATGGAACTCAGGTAGATAGATATCCTACACAGGCACTGTTGTTGTTAAGGACCACTGAGTTGGTTCCAACTCATAATAACTTTGTATAGGGTTTCCCAGGAGCAGTTAGTGGGTTTGAACTGTCAACTTTATGGTTCACAGTCCAGTGCAAGGCAGATGTTGTTGTTGTAAAGTGTCACAGAATCGGTCCCAACCCATAATGACCCTGCATATGGTTTCCGAGGAGCAACAGATGAGCTTGAACCACCAACCTTGTGGTTCAAACTGACTTTGCTGTCCAACACATTAACCCACAGCACCATACCAGGACTCCATGGTAGACATTAGTGAACTAAAATGGACTGGTATTGGTCATTCTGAATCAGAAAATCTTATGGTTTACTATGCTGGGAACGTAAAATTAAATAGGAATGGCATTGCATTCATCATCACAAAGAACATTTAAAGATCTACCTAGAAGTACAATGCTGCCTGTGATAGGATAATATCTATATGCCTACAAGGAAAACCAAGTAATACCACTATTATTCAAATCTACACACCAACCACTAAAGCCAGTTTTAATGAAACTGAAGAACTCCATCAACGTCTTCACTCAGAAACTGATCAAACATGCAATGAACATATCCCTAATTACTGGTGACTGGAATGCATAAATTGGAAACAAAGAGGTAGGATCAGTAGTTGAAAAATATGGTCTTGGTGAAAGAAATGATGCTGGAGATCACATGCTAAATGTTTGCAAGACCAATAAATTATTTATTGTAAATGTGTACTTTTAAAACAATATAAAAGGCAACTATACACATGATCTAACGAGACAGAATACACAGTAATCAAACTGAGTACACATCTGTGGGAAGAGATCATGGAGAAGCTCAATATCAACTGCCTTAACAAAGCCAGGAGCCAACTCATATACAACTGCTCATATACAAGCTCAGGCTGAAGCTGAGAAGTTCACAAAACTTTGAAGATATTCTGCCTGAACTGTGAGATAATCTAAATGATAATTTTGATGCATTAGATATTAATAACCTTAGACCAGAAGAGTTGTGGGGTAACATCAAGAACATCATACAGGAAGAAAGCAAAAGGTCATTACAAAGACAAGAAAGGCAAATTTAGATGTCACAAGAGACTCTGAAACTTGCTCTTGAACACAGAAAAGCTAAAGCGAATGTAAAAAAACAAGAAAGTAAAAAAACAACAACAGTTGAACAGAAAAATTCAAGGGCAGCTCAAGAAGATAACGTTAAGAACTATAATGAAATGTGCAAACTGGAGCTCGAAAACCAAAAGGGAAGAATATGCTCAGCATTTCTCAAGCTAAAAGAACTGATGAAAAAGTTCAAGCCCTGACCTGTGATATTGAAAGACTCCATGGGCAAAATATTGAATGATGCAGAAAACATCAAAAGAAGATGGAAGGCATACATACACACTCACTGTACGAAAAAGAAATGGCTGATGTTCAAGCATTTCAAGAGGAAGCATATGCTCAAGAACCTATGGTACTGAAGGAAGATGTTCAAACTGCAGTGAAGGCACTGGCGAAAAACATGGCTCCAGAAAGTGACTGAATACAAATTGTAATCTTTCAACAAACTGATGCAGCACTGGAGGTGCTCACTTGTCTGTGCCAATCAATTGGTAAAGATCCACATCTGTGCCCATTAAAAAGAAAGGTGCCCCAATGTAATGTGGAAATCATCAAATAATATCATTAATGTCACATAAAAGTAAAACTTTGTTGAAAATTATTCAAAACAATTGCAGGTGTACATCGACAGGTAACTGTGAGAAATTCAAGCCAGATTCAGAAGATGTAGAACAAGGCATAACATTGCTGACATTAGATGGATCTTGGCTGAAAGCAGAGAATACCAGAAAGATGCTTACTTCTGCTTTATTGACTATGCAAAAAGACTTTTGACCTCGTGGCTCATAACAAACTACAGATAACATCGCAAAGAATAGGTATTCCAGAACACTTCACTGTGCTCATGAGGAAACTGTACTTAAACCAAGATATAGTCATTACAAAAAGGGAATATACTGAATGGTTTAAAATCAGGAAGGGTGTGCACCAGGGTTGTATGTATCCTTTTATCATACTTACTTAATACATATGCTGAACAAATAATCTGAGAAACTGGATTACATGAAGAGCTTAACATCAGGATTGGAGAAGGACTCATTAATAATCTGCAATATGCAAATGACAGACTTGTTTGCTGAAAGCTAAGAAGACTTAAAATACTTACTGATGAAGACGAAAGACTACAGCCTTCAGTATGGATCATACCTCAATGTATAATAACCCTCACAACTGGACTAATAAATGACATCATGCAAAATGGAGAAAAGATTTAAGTTGTCAAAGACTGCATTTTGCTTGGACCCACAATCAACACTTATAGAAACAGCAATCAAGAAACCAAAGGATAGATTGCATTACACAAATCTGCTGCAAAAGGTCTCTTTAAAGTGTTAAAAAGTGAAGATAAAGTTTGCAGATTAAGGTGTGCCTGCCCCATGCCATGGTATTTTCAATTGCCTCAAATGCATGTGAAAATTGAATAAAGATTGGAGTAGAATCAATGTCTTTGAATTCAGGTGTTAAGGAATACTAAAAGTATCTTGGATTTCCAGAAGAACAAATAAATATGTCTTTGAAAAAGTGCAGCCAGAATGTTTATTAAAAGCCAGGATGGTGAGACTTGGTCTCTCATACTTTGGACATACTACTAGGAGTGGCTTAGTCCCTGAAGCAGGGTATCATGCTAGGTAACATGGTGGGTCAGCAAGAATGAGGAAGACCCCTAAGGAGACGGACTGACAAAGTGACAGCAGCAATGTGCTCAAACATTAACAGTTAAGGATGGAAAATAAAGTTTGTTTTTTTAACCTAAAATCTCATTTTAAGTCATTTAGTCTTCAAAAACTCGAAAGATACAATAGTAAATCCCAGATGATGCACAAAATAGTAAAACCATTTAGTAATATGGTAAAAACATTTTTCAATATTAAAATATCTTCTTTGCTATATGAAGTACAATGCAAATTAAGAGAAGTAAAAGACACTACATCAGGCAAAGGCTAATAATCACCAAGATAAATATTTACTAGTTTAAAGATTCTTATTACATACAGAAAAGGCTACCTTTTATGTTGAAATTACACTTGTGAATCTACATATTATAAGCTCTTCTGAAGGAGCCACTAGTTCTATTTTATACAGATTAAAATGCTTATAGACAATTTTTAAATTGTTACCACCTCTTAAAAGTTAATACTACTCCAAAAAGATACCAATTAAAACTGAAAAAATGCTAGTAGAATAAACATAGAAATACAAGGTTTAAAAAGTTCATTACCAAAGTGAAGCCATTTAGTCATAATTGAGAGGAAAAAAGGTAACATTTTACTCAACGGGCAAGCACAACAGGTATCAACAGATACAAATATATAAATAATATTAGTAATTAAAATTTCTTAGGTTCAATCAC